GCTCAGGGTGTAACACGTGGAGGTAAGTCTATAGCACACCCCATATTGGAAAATGTAAATTTCGCAATTCGAATAGGGATTTAAAACAGCTTTCCACTACAATGACAAAAATGTGATATGGGCTAATCTTAACTCACAGATTTGTTTATTAGAACTTCGATATGCATATTCGTAGATGTCTCCTAATATAATATTACAAGCCCAAAAATAAGTGGGGGTTTATGAAATCGGTAATTTGACGAGATTACCTATGAATAAATGCATGAAAAGCTTTGCTCTGCTTTCGAAATATTCTGATTGACTGGATTAATCTCTTCTAGAAATACAGTATCTATTAATTAGCAAGGAAATGGTAAACTCAAGGAAACCACTGTTTGTGCACAAAAATCTTCCTGTCTAGTTTCACAATTATTTTGACGAATATGTATCAACTAATTACTTTCAAAAATATTATACTTGTAAGAGAGCAGTGTAAACTGGCAGATATTGAAATTTCTTTTGATAAACTTAAATTTCAATACCGTGATGATGGATATCATTTTTTACTTGCTTAATTTCCATTTTGTCCACTTCCAATTACGTTGAATAAAGTATTATTATCTAAAATAGCAACTTTAAGCGGACTAGATATATTCTCGAGGAGTTATATTCAAGTTCGAAGTCCTCCGTGCCTTAAACTCAAAAATTGTTCTTCATTAGATAATGGCAAACTATTCATTTGAAAACATCTTTTAATATTATTTACAATTCTTTTATTTACATCATGTATTGAATCCATGCTCTAAAATAGGTCAAATCCATTTGACGGAGGCTTAATAGTGTTGGAAATGCTGATTGGCCATTCTTAGCCATTTATTTGACAATTCAGTTCTTAAAGGTATTTGAAATCAACTACAAAATCTTCCTGCTATTGGAGTCAAGAATCGTGAATTCAATTTGGATCTTGCCTAAAGTAATAATTATTTTGAGGCAGAGATAATGTGTTCTCCCCTACCTATATTTATCAAAACTATGCATGAAAATAAGCAAAAATAACAATGAACTTGAAGCAACTACGCACATATTCGGAGATAAGGAGGAATAATATCGAATTTACTCACGAATGATCATATGATGTCTTCAATTAAATTAAAGCTTGTAAATGAAAATAAAAGTTATTAAACAGTTCATAATGGCTAAAAGTAGCGATTTAGATAAGAAAATTTAAGATTTTCTATTATAATTGCTAGTATGTTCTTCATTTCTAGACTAGATATTACCTTTGTCCTCGCTTCTTAAGGATGTTTATTAATGGCTCAACAGGACAAAATTGGGATCAACTTAAGTTGCATTAGTAAATTCAACTTAAAAGTGATATTTATTAACTTGGAGTGGAAAAGTAAGGTATATATTATGGTAAATGAGCCTTTAATTCATATATGTAGTAAGTTTGCGTCAAAATCGAATTTATAGACAATGCAACCCGATTCATTCAACAAATAATCTGATTTCAGATAGCTCATGGTGAAATGTAAGCTACACAATGTATGACGATTTCATCAATGGTGGCGAAAACGAAACAAAATAGAAATTAAAATAAGCAATAATCTGAAGAAAATCGGTCTATAAATAGATTGAATTCAATCAGTTCGGTTTCCAATCGCCTCTGCACTCATAAATCCCTAATTAATTTGGATTAATTTAGTTAAATGAAGCTGATTGATAAATAACAATCACTAATTTATCATGAGCTGTGGTAAAGTAGAAATATAAACCGGAATTGAATTACAGTTATTATTTTGTCAGTCACATAATTATGCCCTTTAGATTAATTAAGTAAAAAAACTCAATAGGTTATTTTGGTTATTAATACATATATATATATATAATCTAATTAGATAAAAGAGCATTTTGGCAACAGTTACTGTTGTATGTCAAAGCACCGATAAAAAGAGCATTCAGAAATAAAATAAATAAATGCCCTGAAGCTAGTATGGAAAAACAAGAGATCGATATTTATTAATGAAGTTAGAGATTTCGCACCATTGTAAAGCAATATTTGAATATGGAACATACAGTAGTAAACAAGCTCGAAAGAACACTGTGCAAATACTCAATAGCCAAACGCTGGATCGCGGAATTACTCAATCAATTTTCTTATGGCCAGGAAAATCATTTACATCTACTCATAGTATCTTTTCACAAGGTGGCTAATAATACCATCTTTAATTTTTCCCTTAATTTTCCTAAAATTAATTCAATTACTCCTCTCCACCCTCTAAAAATCATATTCTTAAATCGTAGTAATTATTTAAGGAGTTGCCTTAAAACTCCTTTAAGTTAAATTCTATTTCAAAATCCTTCATCAATAAATAGCATTTTTCAAAGGTGGTTGGTGTGTACATACAACGTTGTTAAGAATGACTTAGCATGTGGAAGTGAACACATCCAGTGGTTTGAATTACTTCATAGCAGAACGTCAAACGACGAAACGAAAAAGCATCCAGTTACAAATTAGTTTTAAGCAAATGAATTACAATGCAAGAGCGATTGGATTCCTCAACTGGATTCAAAAAAAACAAAAGCTTAACTCAAATGAAGAGACAAGTTTATTATAAATGATCTTCAAACTTTTATGTTGATAATACATGAAGCTATTTAAAAATTGTGTGTACAAATAAAGTTGGATCGCAAGAAATGTTAAATATATAAGTGTAATTATGTGCAAATTATTCGATTTTCAAAATTATTCTCTGATAATCATTTTTTTTTAAAAGTAAATTCAGTATATATTTCTATTTGTGTATGCTGAAGCCCTAGCGCGCGGTGTAAAGGAAATCGATTGCTGTTTTTCTAGTCTTGAAAATGTTAACAAAATCGACAGAGCTTCCAACACTCGAGGAATTGGAGGTTCCTGAGATTAAAATGACAGCTGTACCACTTCTGGCTGCTGCCCTGCATATGGGGAAATTTTGCGATCAGCAATCAAAGGTACGTAATATTTTGTCCCCAATCGTGTAGGAATTTATGCTTTGCCATCAAGAACACCACGATCCAAGAAAATGTATTAATGAAGGAAAGGAGGTTACAGATTGTGGCCTTAAGTTTCTCAAGTTGGTGAAGAAAAATTGTGCTGATATATTTGCTGATTATTATACTTGCTTGTGGAAACACGGTGGCCCTTATTTCCAAATCCAGAAGTAAGCCATATTTCCTCATTTTTTATCGCATATTATGGAGCTTTAACTTATTGTTGATGAAATAGCCCCCTCTCTACTTTTGAATATTTTGTTCCATAATATAACTGAACATTTGACTTTTGCGTGTTATTTATAATAACGTTTTCAGGGTATTTTTCCCAGGTTTTAGTAGTAGGTTTAGAATTTTCACGTTTATTTCTTTTGAATAAAAATGATCGATATTAATATAATTTTAGTCATTTACATAACTATAATTATCCCAACCATATTTGGTCCTTGATCACGGCCCTTTCTGGTTTTTTTAAGTTTAGTTCAACCTTAGAAGAATGTGACTTGGTACTTTTGCGCAGATACACACTAATATATATTCACACGTATATACATACTTTATATTCCAAGGTTATGCGTTCATATTTTCGGTATCTTAATGATATTCCCTTAAACCATCTTGTTGATATCGTCTGATAACACTCCTTGAAATTAATCTCTAATAAAAGATCATCGAGCATTCCTCAGGTGTCTAAATCTTCAATTTCTCCATCTTTATTAAAAATTTGACTACTTTATCTGTTTCTCCTACATTCCTGCGTTAATGAAATAGAATATAGGTTTCTTGTCTTAGATAAGAATTGCTTCTGTTGTTATCTATAACCCTTGGTATCTGATACAGCTTGTATTCGTATTGGACTTTATTTACTGAATAAGTAATATTATTGGTGTAATTACAGTTTAATTTTTTACCAGTGAAGTGACATTAGTGGCGTGAAGTTAGCTGCTTGTTTGGGTGACTCCGTAATATCTTCCTTCCCCCCTAATTTAAGTGTTAACGTTCTCTTTGATAGGTTTGAGGAAATCAGTAGTTCTGGACAATTGTGTTAGATTGCGTTTTGGACTGCGATTACAAATTTTATTAACTAATTGTTTGGTTTTGCCAATCGAAACTACTATTTGCCATCAGAAAAAATGCCATCATCCATCATAATTGCTGAATAATTTAGGTAACAGTGCCTTGACTCTATTTTATTTGACCTCCATTTACGTCCTCCAGTTGCCGTAAACTACAGTATCCTTTGGACAATTGCATCAAGGAGAAAATAGGCCTGGAACGACCAGAATTGGGTTACTTCAATCGTGTCCGTCTAGTGGACACCAAGCGTCCCAAACCAGTTCCCGGCACAGCTCCCATGCCAGAACGCCTTCCTGACATGCCAGATTGGGACAGTATGCCCGACCCGGAGAAGTTGGAAGCTCGCAAACATGTTAACGAAGCCATGGTGTAGATGTGGCGCCAGTGGCCTTATTTGGGCTCCCAAAGTACTGTTTCACTGACCCCTCCCACAATAGCATATTATTAGTTTTGTGAATAAATGCCATCGTTTTTCGGTATGTGCCTCCCTTTTATGTTTTCGGCCCTTTTCCATAAAATTTTAATCACTGTTTAGAAGATGATAGGATTCAGAGTCACAAAAAATGAGGATTGATGGTCGATTATGGTTCAAAAAAATTTTATGAGCCTCTTCTATACTGTTGTACTGTTAAACAGACGTGATATAAATGCTAAGTTAACAATTAGCTAAGCGCAGACCGTGGGTGTATGAATACAGTTCGTCTTTATATTATTGGTATTGAAGGTCAGATCCCACTGACCAACGGCAGTTGCTACCCCGTTTAGCCAAATCTTGAGGCTGATAAGCAACATACAAAAAACCCAGGAGGAATGTCTCATCCGGAATTTAAGCAACTCTGCGGTTTTGAGCTATACTTGCCAGTTTCCAAGTTCATTGAAGAGGGGGGTTTCCAACACTCGTCTACGATAGATATGTGAAGACGTTTACTTAACTAGGAGACAACCTGCTCACCAATAAATCAGGAAATGTGTGAGCATTGATTGCAGCCAGAAATCGGTACCCACTAGTGTTTATTGCATCGAACTATCTTATTCATATTCAACTCAGCATTAATACAAATTAAAATAGAGGAAATTGATGGACTATCTTAGCATCACATTCCTGTAGAGGGATCATCGTACTTTGTTCAAACTTCAAAAATTAACTTTTCAATTAGGAGGTCAAGTAGGATGTAAGCATAATTTCGAAAAATCTATTTTCAGATAAATAATTCTAATGTGCCCCCCCCCCCCTAAAAAGCTTCAAGACATTTAAGTAGCTTCAATGAAAGAATATGCCACTGAAAAAGCATGGAAACGACCGAAAGCTACTTAATATAAGACTGCAGTTCGAAATGTTAAAATAGATGCTGGAATAAAATATTGTGATTTTACTTCCATGTTCAAACTATATGATATTAATTAAGTTTTATAACTTACCGAAGATATGTTCGAAACAAATCGTATCTATTGGCTCCAAACAAAAAAACCTTCCGTTAAATAAAGACAATGGTTTAATAAATTATCTCTTAAAAAAGCATTAAAACTCGACATTACAGCACAGTTTTCACTTGTCAATATTAGTAAGAGATAGTAAATTATAATCGCCAGAGGATATCATAACCCAGGACGCAGGTACCAATTTAATCGGACGGTAGTTGGCAGTGGTAACTAACGAAGGTTCTCCAGTAGAAGGTATTACTCTTGGTTTCAACAACCTCAAGGCTGTCTCAACTAGCTCCTTCGGTTTCAAAATGACTGTAGTGGTTGAATTCTCACCACCTTTAGGAGACGAACTGGACTTTGAAACGACTGATGAGGATGATGCCCTATTGTCATAGAGAGCTATCAACTGATGCCTGTTCACCTTGTCTTGATCGTCTTTGATGTCGAGAGCATTGAAGGTCGGCTTAGATCCCTGAGTAGAAGAGTCTTCCTGTTCATCTTGAACGATCCAATTGCATGAAATGATTGGGTCATCTGCAGCTAGATAAGCTAAGCGGGAGGGTGAGGTGATATCCCGATGGAAAATCTTGCCACCACCGAGTGTGAGTACACTCACGAGAGTTTGTCGACTTGGAAAAGGGTAAGAGTAATTTCCCTACACAAAGATAAAAAAACGATAATCGGCACTTAAACAAGTAGCATTTTAAAAACATGGTCATGTGCCATTAGCAGTGATTCAAGTGCTTGTCTGCGAAATTAGAGGTCACGGTCTCGATACCCAACGATCCACAACCAGAATTCCGATCTAGTCAATGAGGGAGATGATAGAATTTGAGTTACTCACTTGAGGCTCTTCGATAACACCCCGCTATTTTAGATAAATGCATAAAAATCATTCTTAAATGAACTTATTAATAGAAACGTATAGTTAGATATTCAGAGATGTCATCATTTGAACCAGATTAACCTTCGTAAAGGGAAAACGCTATTGTTGTAATAACTTGATGTTGAGGAAATGTTTGGATCCATACTCCAGTCTTGTTTGTAAGGCGAGAGATTTTCTCATTTACAATAAAGTCCCAGAACCCAGATCAAGCTTATTTTGCACTTTCCATTAGAAAGGTTTCAAGAACTCCCTTTGCTCTAATCATTGAGTTGGGTTCCGCAGTACTGGCACAACGACGGTTAACCCCTTTTCGACAGCGCCCAATGAGTACATACTTTTTCACCAGATCTCGGAAAAGGGAAGGGAGCTTATAGGCCAAATGTACGCCTTCAAGGCGCCGAATCTACTGCTGCCATACATGTGGTTTATTATTGATTAGTCTAGTTCGTTATTCAGGGCTCAACTACTACAGTTGTGAACAAATCTACGTAGGCATTTGAAGTAAAAAGTTAGAAATCACTTCACACCACATTTGGAGGATAAAGTATTCCAAAAGCATGGTAGCATGAAGAAATTGAAAGTGTATAATCCGAGGAGTCACCTTGGGATCCTTCGCAAGCCACGGCATCTCTTTCTATGCGTGATGCGCGTTTAATCTTGGTTAAAGTTTTCATCGGGATAGAACCAGATTGTTTACGCTTTAGCAGAACATTTCACTTTGCTCAGAGGTTTCTTCAACCTTTATCATACTATTTTGTGGCCCTCCTCTGAGAGATTGATAATCACCCCGACTGTATAAGCGTGTAATAGCGATGATCTTTATTGAATGCAAGCTTCATGATAGAGACTGAAACATCCAATCAAGTGTTGAGACGATACCAGAGTGCTCCAACGCTTTATTTGTAGCAGGCTTTCAAATGCCTCTTATAGTGCCTTTTCATAGTAACCACTGTAATTCTCAATTTAAAGCCAAATCCTTCTCACACTGTTCTGGCAGCATTGTCTAGAGAACATAACTTTATTCTGATGCTCTGCATGAATCACTGACACAATTTATTCTCTTCTATGCTTTGGATGAGCTCCAATCATTACTCATTTCCTTTGCCAGAAGTAGATATGCTCAAGCACTTTTAACATACCCGGAAAAGCAACCAAATATAGTTCCTTACAAATTATTACTAACATCCGTTCTATGTAAGGAAAATTCTTGCTGGGAAGAATCGAATGCTTTCAACCCTCATAGACTGGACAACTGAGCATGTTTCTTTGCACTTGTCTGACAATCGCTTGAACTTCTTGGATAATCGCATATCCCTCTTTCAAAAAAACAGATATACCACTCATTTTGAATTTGAGCAAATGTAGTTATGGTATATCTGGGTTTAGATTAAATGAGTGAAAACGAAACCCTATATTTTCAACAAGCGATAGACAACATTTAAAACGATTCAGCATCCATCGACTGGCCATACGATGATTTGCCATCTATGGAGTTTGTAGTAATCAGACTTTTACTGCCACCTCATTATCGAGATTGATACTATATGGTATGAGATATTAACTTTTCATTGGAAATAAATAATCAGATTTTACAATCACTATCCGTGATGTGTTTCCAACAGTCAACACTAATTGGCGAATAAAGATTTTAAGCTAGCCTCTCATTGATTTCTGCTAATACACCACAATAGCTAAAATATGTATAAATAAACAGAAATACACTTACAAGAAGAACAAATCTAAACCCGTGGAAAAGCCCAGCTGAACCTGCCTCCCTCGCCAGTCGACTTCGACGAGGAGCATATGAATTTGGCGATGGATTGCATCCATTCAATTCAAAGGCTTCTTCATTCACTCGAGTTTGCATTTCCAAGCACGTTTCAATCCAGTCAAAGGCGAGAATCCAACAACCCTAGATAATTCGTTACTCCATCAAAACCTGAACACACCTGTAACACACAACTCACGTACTTCAGCGTTCTCGGACAATGAAGACCTATATCTGGAGACTGTTTTCGCTCCTCCTCCACCCCCTTATCCTTTTTAACCCCCTTCTTTTTTCCTTCTTTTGGAGAAAGCATTCTTATACCAGTGATAAGATGGGTTACATCAGTCGAAGATTCATTCACAATGCGTGCATGAGTCAGATTGGCAACTCGATTAACCAGCCTTTGTTGATCACGATCAAGTCCAGTACAGAGAAATACCGGTTTAGTGCGCCGTCTAAATACACAATAAGTAGTGTTTGTCTCAAGACCTACCTTTCTAAGAAAAGTGCTGACGCTGAAGTGTCAGCAATAAGCTTAGTATTAGAACACTTCGCAGAAAAAGTTTTGGCAGACTTCACAAGCAATTCATGAATCTCTGTATAATCCTTGAGAGCCTGAGAAAGATCCTTTTTCAAAGTTTTTCGACCCTTCATGCTTGCCTTGGCTGAATTGATAATATCCTGATTGGTATCTGCAAGACAGCGTTCACAAACTTGAATTGGAGTAACATTCTGGCCATTGGGAAAGTTAGGATTAGCATTGTATTCTAGTAGAAGGCGAATGACCTCAATTCGCCTGTTGAAAACAGCTTCATGGAGAGGGGTCTCCAGTTCCGGTCCACCTAGAACGTCAACAGACGCTTTTCCTTCCTCCAAAAGGCATTTCGCAGCTTCCATATACCCTCTTAAAGAAGCTTCATGTAGAGGTGTCCATCCAGCATGGTCTCGAACATCTGGAGAATGACCACCGGAAAGGAGGGCATGCAGTTGACCAAGATCATTTTTAATAGCCGCTCGATGAAGTGCACTCTCGCCCTTACAGTTGACTCGTGTTTCCTGGTCACTGAAACTTGAATTAGAAACTGAACTACCGACTCTGCCTTTTCTGGAGTCTTTTGGAAAATCGGTGGAAGGAAGTTTCTTCTTGACTTGCTCTTGTCTTCCCGTTGGGGGTGATTTAACAACTGATGCGGAAACAGTATCATCCATTTCTGACTTTTCTGGTGAAGCCAAAGGAGCCTTTGATGATGGGGAAAATCTTTCAAGGTTTGCATTCTAGGTAAGAAAAGCAGTGCAGAGAGTAACAATGAATTCAAACAAAGTAAAATCGTTTAATATAATGAAGAGTACTGTTCTGGTATTGATGCGAGTCTTCACTCGAGGAATAGCAGCCGGAGGAGGCATAACTTTTCGATTCTTCTTCTCTTCAAGATTACCAGCAATGTCATTTAAGACAACTACGGGTCTACAAAAAGAGTGCATAATTTGCTGAAAAATATTAAAAAAACCACCACTTTCAAGTCAAAATGGCCAATCAAGTTTCCATCTGATAGCCAGATCAATTGAATAAAACTGTGATCGAATAAAATATAATTGAAATTGAAATATACCTCAATCGAAACATGTCCATTCTTTATAAAGTCGAGCTATGTATGAAATTACACAAAATTGGCTATTTGAAGACAAACTAACTGTTCAAAATGGCTTTCAAACATGCAAAGATGGATCAATGCTATATTAGCCAAATTAGAGCGTTGGTGGCGTATTAGTCAACGAGAAAACCTGTTAATAAGTCAAAGGCCTACTTATGGAAAGCAGTAGCTGAGGATATTGATTTGAACAGCAAGGCGAAAAGTAATATTTTAATCCAAACGAAGCCTGAATGCAAATTCAAGAGCGACGCTGGAAATTATTGTCTAAACGCGATCTAGGGGTATTTAAATGTACACTACAGGCATGGAATTCAGCAAGTGATGTAACTGCACCTACTAATAATCAATAAAAAGGAAAGTCGACATGGAATCTAATAAGTGAAATACTAGAATTTTCCTTCATATCTAAAACTAAGCTAACAAATGCAGCAAAATAAAACGCAGTTAGCGGTTAAGGCAGTTTTAGAGGCTAAACCCCAGAAGACAACTAAAGTAGGACTTCCAAAATGTGATACTGAAGTGAATTCAAATGAATTCAAATCACTCTTAAAATCAACTTCAGCATGAAGATCAGCCAGTCAACATTTCCCCGACGCAGTAAGGCTAGAATAGCATGATAAGCTAAAGCGATTCAAAAGATATTGACTAAAATCTAGGCAACTGAGAAAGTGACATCGTCAAAACGATACTTGCTCTTAGGAACGAAAAAAAATATTTGTATTTTTTCGTTATACAAAACACTGATGCTACATAAATGATCAGTCTGACGAAAATGAGACACTACCAAAGCAATGGAAACATACACGCTTATGAGAACAGCTAAATTAAACAAAATCTATTGATATCTAAAACAAAGGCTTAAATAGAATAGGTAATGAATAAAATAAGTCGATCGAAAACATTCAGAACTTACTGATTAGTAAGCTTGGATTCACAAACTACAGGAGAATTTGAAATAGCTCCACGAGTAGCGCCAGGAGATTCTGAGGACTTCAAGACGGCACCTTCAGCTACTGACGGTGAAGGACTTTTAAAATGGTAGTAATCGACAGAATTCAAAAAGGAAAGATTGTTTTGAGCAACTATAAAGAATAAAATGATGCATTAACAATGTGTAACGGCTTAGTTTGCAATTAGTAAAAATGTTGGTTACCCTCTGTTTTCTCAGATAAAACCGATGTAAGAGGTGCCGGAACACTATTGATAAGTTTTGCCAGTTTTCGTGCTACGAGGACAAGATCTGTAAGTTGTGGGTGAGGTTTGATGTCACAGGGTCGAACTGGAATATAGCAAAGTGGACACACATTAGAATTCCCAGCGTGACGCTTAGATCGACTTCCAGAAGGAGCAATACTCTTGGAACAACAATCTAAGCACAGCGTATGAGAGCAAACGCCGTTTGTGTGCGGATCATGAAGAGTCTTGTGACAATTTTCGCACTTGAGTAAATCGAGCAGCTTTTGCAAGGAAGCCTCTGTCTTGGGAAATGCAGACATTTTCAATAAAACCTTGCAATTATGAAATACTATTAACGCTAAAATACAAAACAGATAAGTTAAAAAATGCACAATCGAAATTGAATGAGTGATGTACTTAAAACTCACACTCACAAATCAAGCACTAATTAATGATACGAATCAACAAAAATAAGTTTTCAATAGTTAAGTAGAAAACTTTATCTGGAAGATTATACTCGAACTTTATAAGGTGTTGTCTTTAAGAATAATAAAGAATACTATCGGATAATTATATTAGAGTCATTTATAAACTTAACTTATACATATGAAACTAAGCTTTGAATACGATTTAAAGAATTTGATTTATTTTACATCTTTTTATTTTAATGTAACACGAGAAAGAAAGGCACTGTAACTATTTTATGATTTCGTAAACATATGTGGGAAACGACCTAGTGTGGATGTCCAAAACTTGCCTTTTGCGTCATTGGTATTGCAAATGTAAAGGCATGTATCCCTTTATTAATGTTTTAAAATTTAACGCATTTATTCATTATTTGTCAAAATGAAACATCGCTTGTTGTAAACTTCAGCATAAATTTTATTAAAATGAACAGTAAAAGGGAATCGCTTCGAAAAGTCCGACGTATTTTGAAGCGCACTTCACTAGAAATGCGTCGAATTACATCTGTTGTGGTGGAAAGTTCTTTAGATCCATCAAGTTTCAATACTCCTCCATTTTCCCTGGAAAACTCTGGGTGCTTATGTGATAATCAAGAAGATTGGGAAAAAGAACCTCCTCAAACTGAGTTTAGCTTAAGTGATGAACTGATCGCTGGTATGGAAGCGATTGTTAACCATCGTCTTTGCTTGCATAATACTCTTTGTAAGATTCCTCCCGATGATAAAAGAGAAGGTATGATATCTCCAATTTGTATCTTAATGGGATCTAATAGAGATGAAAAATTCTCTCCTCAGACAAATGCAATCATTAGAGTCTCGCGCCCTTATTTTTCTCACTCTTCCTCCAACAAATTCTTCGGATTTTGATGACTCAGAAGGAATCAAAACTGCCTTCCTTCGGTTTTTGGAAGAGGCTGAATCTTACCTATCTAAGGCTAGTGTTTTGATAACAAGCGATGCTACTGCCAAACAACCCGCTCCTGTAAAGTCGAAGCTTTTGCCACGTTAAAAATTTATTTCTTTAGATAAAAATTAAATTTTTTCTAGGCCCCTTTGTCGATTAAACCAATTATCCCTGATGTATTGAGTATTCCTGGGTTCAGTCAATACGTAGCTCTGTGTTTAAAGAAGACTTCAAGCAATACTATCTTTAATATCCTCTCAAATCCTGAACTCAGAGTAGCAGCTTCTACCGTTAAGACAATTATTGGATGCGCGTGCAGTCAGGTAGTTTATGCCTCTTATTTATTGGCTCTAATTTCTCGTCTAACCAGGCTTAACGATTTTACATCTATGGCAATTCTTATGATTACTGATGTAGACTTGATAAACTCTACCGAAATGAAGCGATATTAATAATAAAACAACAATAATAATCGTTATGTTTGCATTGTTTATTGGCTTTGGCTACAGCATACGTTCACTGAAATTTTTCTTCTCAATTCTCTATCGCTTTCAACTTATCGCAATATTCTGCTTTGCCTACTTTTCGTTGTTTGCTTGTCTTTGTCGTAATGTTATTTAACTCATTGGCTTTACTCTCTTTTTGGTGGTATTTAACCCATCCTAATTTGAGTAACTTAAGCAAAATCCCTATCTTGACAACTGCTTATTTGCTATTCAAGTAAAATAATGCAGTTTTTATTGTCTTATAGATGTTTGCTGTCTTTTATCGTTGGTATTTCGGTATTTGGAGTGTTAGTCATTTGACGGAAATACCTTATACCGTATGCACGAGGTAAAAGAGATGTGTTTAGACTAGCAGGGTTGTGTATCGAAGTTTACAGTGAGCAGTTTCATCACTTGATAAGTATCTTATTATTTGTAATATTCTGTATTTACTACATTTTAAATTAGATCTAATGCAAATTTGCCTTCCTGAATTCAAATGGGACTCTTTTACTTTTGTCTTCCCGTTCAAGTCTTTTCGCGAAACGCGTGTATATTCAATTCAATTCACTGAGACTGAATAACGGCCCTTTTGTTTGGTCATTATCAAGGCAAATTTTACAAAAACTTCGTCTTCTCACACCTTATTTTGGTTCTTCATCGATCTATTTGCATATTTGGTCACCCACTAATCGTACACCGGGGATCGCTCAATTCCTTACGTGCTCACGTTCGATGAGGTAATGATGTGGAAGTGATTATATCAGTAATTGAAAAGATGTAGCTATGTTTTTGTTTCTCTAATTTAGTAATTTTATGTTGTATTTGATCCAACGAAAAGGGGAAGTAGGTTGTACACAGGAAACTCAGTATTGCTTTGCTAGGTTAATTTATTTGAACGAGTTGGATTAGTAGCTTGAGTGCCATCCCAATATTTTTGTGCAAGGTATTGGTGGTTGATTTTAGATGTCCATCGAGGGTTATCACTCATTCTCAATCTTCAAATCGTCTTCTATTGGTGATGAGTAGTTTCTGAATACAGTGTTGATTATTGTTAATTGAAGTCATTGAGTCTGTTCCAAGATCGGATATAATTAAGACCATTGTCAGATCTTGCGTGTCCACTTAAACCTAAGCATGAACTTCGGTTGTGTACATTTTGATATGTTTCTTTTTAATAACATGCTATAATTTGGTTTTTTGCGCTTAGATTTCCTTATCTTTGCGGAAACCGATTGATGTTGGCTTTATTAGGTGAAATACAACTGTATTTTGACTTAATTTGTGCAATTGATGGGTAAATAACAATCGGTTCTCGTTGTTAGTGGATTCAGTTGCTTTAAGAACATGCACTCATTGGGTTACCTGACTTTGTATCTGGGGAAATCGGAGTATTAATAGTCGCTTAAATTCCCCTCTTCTAACTCTAATTTATCAAAATTCGTTTCATAATATTATTAATTGGTTGGAGTCATGGAATTTGATTCAGAAATGATGGAAATGAGGTCGGGTTACTTTAGCACGTGGAATACGAAGTTATAAACTTCTTGAAAATGAGTATGAAGGCCTAGAAATGGTGAGATCACGCGGATTAATCTGCACACAGATAGCTTCAACTCAATTAGTGATGACAATCCTAGCCTTCTGCTGCGGTCTAGTGTTTTCTCGTCTTTTCCATGTTATGCATTAACTTTTGACAAACAAATACTGGGTTGAAGCATCTATATTTAGGTTCCCTCCTATTACTTTTTAATTATTATTTGAGTCTCATCGAATTTCAGATAACAGGAAGTGATCCACAACACTGTCTTAACCGGTTAAACTACCTCCTCACATTTTTTGAAGGCTCTCCCGTACGAACCCCTGGGGCTGGGGCAGAATCATTTCGTCTTCCTCAGAATATGGGATTCGAATTCGCTTGGCACAATCTGATTAAGGCCGCATTAGCTCAAGCAGAACGCCAGTTTGCCTTCTCCTTATCAAGTACTCTTCCCTTTGCTGCTGTTCTTGCAACCCTACTTGGTCGCTTTCCTGACTATATTGTAAGTTGCTTTTGTACTCATAAAGCATAAGTAGTAGTCTTTTTGACTTGAATGACTGTTTTCATAGCCCCTGTTTTTGGCCCACACGGCTACAGCGTGTCCTCTCCTTACGCTCTATGCAGATGATGAGAATACTATATTCGCCTCAGTGGAAGCCTCTGGCGGCGTAAATGAAGAGGTATTACGAAATTGGCGTGGTATCTCTCGTTTGTTTGCTGCAGTACTTTTGGCGCGACTCCCTCCTGGTTTCAAAAATCGCCCGGTGCATCTCAATCCTAAGCTCCTTTGGATTACTATCGCTGGAATTGCCAGACACAAGAACAAATTGGAAGTGACAGCCGTGGTAAGAAGGTGTTTGTTATATCTTTCAATTGAAGACTCCATTAGTATATAGCATCTTGGGTTACGGTTTTAAGATGAAAGCTAGGGAGTTAGATTATCGATGATTGGCAGCTTATCGAAATTTTATTGACCTGTAAACGAAATTTTAATACAGTGAATTGCTAGAATAGTAATTAAATCCTACACTTTTGAGGTTAGAATATGCTCTTTGGACACTGAATTTTCAACTACTATTCCTTGTCAAGATCATGGCTTAAAATTATCGCATTACTAGTTTGACGAGTTTAAATTCTTATTTTCATCTGAAACTATATTAATAGTCTGACCTTCTTAAATATAAACTCATCTCAGTTCTGTTTTCACCCTGTCAGTTTCAACGAATGTAATCTTAGTATGACTCAGTATCAGCTTAGATTGAATCAATCATATTATGCCAATTATATTGTGTGACATGCACACCTCTAAATAGAGTTTTCCTGGCCTTGCCCTTGGACTATCCGCCAAAATTGACACGTCAAGTTGGATATTATCGGACTTAAAATAAAATTGCCCAGTCAACTCGCACCACTCACTATTGAGTATTTTGTTACCACTGGGTCTCTCGCCGGGGATCTAGAGGTCAGATTTCTTTTGTTGGAGAACTACATCTTCAGCTTGAAATTGATTAATCACATTAAGTTAAAATCAGAACAAAATAGTGCATTTTTGATTTTTCTTGTTACTTCTTTTGCTTCACGCGCATTTATTAATTGAAGTATTTCACTATCCTTAAATATTTATTTATGCCAAAATGGCAGGCGTTTTGATAGTCATCATTAGCCCTTTAGTCGACTTCAGGCTTCACAGAGGGGAAGGAACATCAAAGTGAAGCCTTCAGGCTTCACAGAGGGGAAGGAACATCAAATTGAAAACAAGTCGAGAGGGGAGGAACAGAAGAGCGTTTCAAAGATGCAAAAGAGTCGAGAAGGGGGGGGGACAGAAGAGTGTTTCAAAGATGTAAAAGTGACAGACACAAAGGTAGAAAAAAGGTAAGTACTGTAGAAGTGGTCAAATATGACATGCAGTCAGGCCATGGTGGTTCGAAGTCAGAAGTCAACCGCCGAATAATGGACGTTTTTGCCTTATGAGTATACGTTGCCCAGGGTGTACCGTGTGGAGGTAAGTCTATCGCACACCCCCTATCTTTAAATATTGTCTTTAATATTTCAATCATGTCTGGGCTATTTTTTATCCCCCCCCCCAGGTTCTTCGAGGCTTAATCGAGACCGGTGGCTATGTTCTTCTCAAACTGTATAAACACCAAGCTCGTCGTCTGTTTAAGAGTCTAATGGATGCGACCAAAGGTTCCCAATCAACCTGGGAGTTGGGTTTGGTCTCCTGTCTAGAGCTACTTCTTGATTCAAATACTTCAGCGGAGAATGGACACGGAGTGATTTTTGATGACTTTTGGAATTGATTCCTGGAAATTGTTTTTTTTTTGTTTAGATGCGTTTTTTTCGACATTGCTTGCCAAATTTGTTCACTTTTATACATACAAGTTGTTCGATAAATTTTCAGTTTTGATTTTGTGAGTGTGATTTGATTCTAAGGTCTTACTTTTGTTGGTTCATAATTATCGTCAGCTCAATACAAAATTGTGAGATATATATATGATATTCGGCATGTTTTATAATATGTTATTATACAGTCATCCGTCATTATCGAATTGAAACATTCTCATACTTTCAATTTGAGACATGTATGTTAGCTCGGGATTCATAATGGCCGATTCTCTTTTGCTTGCTGTGATTTGAATAAATCTTGATTGGCGTGCACATGCTTACCATTACCATAACAACCACCTAATAATTTTGCTTCATATTTACAATCTGGTTAAGCAATCTCAGGGAGTGGGAGGGGGGGGGGTTGTAGCTGTGTGTGTGTATGTGTTCTATCCTTCATTGTTTGTTTCTTACTAAGTTAGGAGTCACGACCCTAATTTAGCCAAGCTTTCATTATTTTTCTATGCAGAACAGCAGTTTTGAAAAACAACCTTGCTAAGCCAATCAATTCCACCTCTTCTGGCTAGAAAAAATATTCACTTAGTTTTGCTAATCAATCAAAATCCGTTAAATTTCCAGAAAGATAGATCACCCTTATTAGAGGACATCTATTAATCCTTAATACTTATGGAACTGCACAAGGATAGTTCATGTAGAAGTCAAAACAGGAAACTAATAAACGTCCTCAATCTTTATTCCATATTTGGTGTCTTCTACTCCATTAAATGAGTAAAACAAACGCCAAAGTTCATTCCGACACTTTCAAAGAGTGCACGTTTTCCTTTCTAGTCACGTGGGGTTTTATTTTCAAGGCATTGCCTAAACCTCATGCATATGAAAACAATCTACTCCTACTATCGTAAACTATATATATCTATATATTCACATTGTGCTTCTCATAGAGGAGAGAAAAAATAGCATTTGAAAAGGGTAATTATATTCACTCCATTGGAGTTGAGATAATCAATTCTTCTCATCTCAACATGAAGAGTATATGTTGTGGATTTTTTCAAACTACCTTCTGTAGAGGTTAGCTCCTTACCATCATTAGAGTTTTCATTCTGATTCAATGACGTTGGTATATTTATAAGGCCGATCATCACGGTTACAAAACGCAAAAAAACACCAGCATTATCCCTCGATGTTAGATATTTGCTGAAATTTTGGTTGGCAAACCATGTAAATGGAATCAGGAAACGCGAATTATTTAGTGAGTCAATATTGTGGAGCCCCAATCAAAATAAAAAATGCAGAAAAAAAACGTTGAAAGTTTAGCATTTCTTTTGGCATCGTGTTGTTCCCCTCTCTTTGCTAATTATTGAACTCTCTGCTAACCGCAATTTTCTACACCTAAAAATTACAAATAACTGGCTGTATTTCCGAAGCTAATAAGAAAAAGCATAAATATGTGTACCCCACAGCAGGAGATTGTTGATATTTATACATACAATCATACGATACATATTTAGAATTAAAGTATATTCAAAAGTATATTTACCTCTAATTATCTTAAGATCCGGGGTGTGCGATAGACTTACCTCCACGTGGTGCACCCTGGGCAACGTATATCCATACGGCAAAAATGTCTATTAACTGGCAGTTGACTTCTCACTTCAAACTACCACCACCTCACTCTATGCCATATTCGACTATTTTCACAGTACTCTTCATACCTTTTTCTACCTTTGTGTTTGTCTCTTACATCTTTGAAACACTCTTCTGTCCCCCCACCTCTCGACTTTTTTCAATTTGATGTTCCTTCTCCTCTGTGAAGTCTGAAGTCAACTAAAGGGCTAATGATAACCATCAAGACGCCCGCCATTTGATATAAATAATCTTAAGATCCTTAAGAGGACTCCTGGTGATGCACACACATACACACGCACACACCCTAACGCATATTTTCATCCAATTGGCAGTCGACTCCATCACGTCACCGAAAATAAGTGGTTAAGTATCCTGACAACTACCGCCAGTCGGACCCTCTCGCGCGTATATCTAATAAATATGCATTGAGCGGAAGGAGACTGTGTGAGAGGGTACGCTAACCTCGAATTTGAAATGGATAATCAGCCTTCTTGT